ATTAAGGAACTTGAAAATTTAAGGCAAAATCAATGATGAATTCTTACCTTCACTTCGGGGTTTCCTCACAGATTCACGCATCGCACGGCCGGCACCGAATCAAGCCGAGATGCAGAGGGTGTTCGGCTTCGATGCGACGGTCTGGTTTGGCGTACACTTCTTACCGCCTAGTGCAAGTGAAGTTTGGCAGCAATGTGTGCCAAATGCTTTAATCAGGTCAGGCGTCCCCTAATAAATCTTTCTATTTTAAAATATAAAAACTAGGATATTTTAAATATAAATATAAAACTAGTCTGAAATATAAAAGATGCACGATAATGCATAATAAAGTACATTTTTCAGCGCCTTCCGAACCACAGCTTGGGATGATTAAGATCATCAAGAATGAAGCAGCGAAATGAAGTTCGAAACCCTCAATGAGTTCTAAAATATCTTGTTACAATCAGCAAGGTGGTTGGATGGTTAGGATTCGGCTACAGGTCAACATAGCCTAATCATTCGCTAATATCCCACAACTAATATATGACCACCTATTACTATTTTTGGCAATGTGCAGCCTCAAAGACAATTAAAAATTAAGGTGCACTGAATAAATTATTGTCAGCTTCGAAGGCTTTGAGTGGCCCAGCTTCTGCATCATTATAGATTTCTAATGGTTCTACCGTGTGAAATTAAGTTCAAAATCGCAGAATTTGCTTGGAGGCGGGAAAGTACAACGCTCTCGTTGTCATCACGCCTCCATGTGTTTGAATGCTATAGACCAGAACATATAGACACGCTTGTTTGTCGCTATTGCATATGCTAATTAAATGCATTAATACATATTGAATGCACTTTTACTTGCTATTATTCTAAACATGCAACACGCGAGTAACTATAAATCAGATATTACACAGTACATTCAACTAGATCTGCTAGTTTAGGAAAAATTTATCTACACACAGAACCGCAGATCCTATTTTTTAAACTTTTGTGTATTTAAAATTTACTGCAATCGAACTTCGAAGACTCGGTGCATTCTTCTGAGCACCTAAGAAATGTTTACCTGGAGCCGTACTTTCAAAACTTACTTAACTGACTTGCCATAGTAACGAGAAGCGTGTCGGTGATCTCGGAGACAAAAAGAAAAAAAATTGAATTTGTTGTCGCGTAGTCGACAAACGGTCAAACTCAACTGTCGGACATTTGACAATTAATATGGATTCGACATCGATTAATGTAGATTCGACGTAGATCAACGATGATTCGCCATCGATTAATGCAGATTCGCGTTGTAGTCGAATTATCCGTATAGCGGCCTAAATACAAGTAGCGGCTTGAGGACAAGTAGGGTCCATAGTGCACTTAGCGGTTTATTTTTCGTCTGTGATTGGTGGGTTCAGACTGAAAAGCCGAGTTATTGGCTGACGAAGTTATGAACTCGTAACTTATAGTTTTTATTGTACGGCCCCTTAATTGCCTCGTGCGGTGCATGGGTGAGATTAGCTAGCGCCATGGTGAGATTAGCTAGCGCTTCATGATGATTGACTAACCAAATTTAGGTAATAAATATGTATTATAAAATAGATTCGATTATAATACGAAAAAAATTTAAACTCTGAAAGTTTTTAGGATATAATTCGTTCCTAAACTTTCCATACTTCACTTCACGGTGCCGTGATTCACGATGTTTGTTATTGAGACCACCAAAGACTATAGACTCAAGTAAAACGAACAATGGTAACGTAAGTAAAAAAAAACAAGTTAAATCACAGGAATAATTACAGTAATAATGAATCATTGAAGAACCTAGATAATATTATAAATAGAATAATGATGAATTTGTGAATACTTTCAGTGAATAACTGCTACTTAACTATAAATTACATCATCAAAATCATCATCTGCTCCTCTCGGCGCTGACTGCTGGTGTTCCGAAGACTATGCTGTCCAGCGTCGTTTTTCGTAGGCCTGGAAAATTAGGTTAATTCAAAATCTATTCATAGCACGTCATCTTATGGTTCTCTTGGTGGTACTTTGTTCCCGGCCACGATTAACGGGTATCTGGTACGCAGGTATCAGCGCGGATTTTTATAGTTACGATTGATAGAATAAGTGAAGGTAATTGAAGTTAAAATTATTTCAAGCAGCCAAAAGATCATAGCTAGGCCACACTAAAGTCAAAGAAATCCATTCTGAGGAGGAGCTTCTAACAAACAAACTGCACAAAAATGCCATCGCAATGCAATTTATAATTCAATAGCAGGTTAGCCCGGTGTTGCCAGCATTGATGATCGTTTTAATTTAGAATCCCATAGTTCAATGAAGAAAACGTACAGGGTTGGAGTGAAAGTTTTTGGAATGATGGTGACCAGCGAAGGCTGCATCAATTAAGCGTCCCTTATATAACCACCGTCCCTCGTTGTGGTGCACTATAATTTCATTTAATTACGTTTTACTACAGCTAAATCTCTTTATTTAACCGTTGCAGAAAGTTTAACAGGGATGTTTCAAAAAATATCTAGCTGCGTGACCACAGTCGGTTAACGAAATTTTGTAGGCGGTCAGTCGCTGAATAAAAACAATTCATAGAAGCCGATAAATTTTCGGAATCAAGTGAAGACCCTTAAGTTACGATCACATGTTACGGAATCCGGTAACATATAATGATATACGGTTTTTATTGAAGTACTAAAAATATAGTTTAAATATTTAATGGAAGCCACAAGTCAATTCGTGGGACGTATCAGGATTTATATTATAATAGTACGGACAGCGCCCACCTGCCATCACAGAGTTGACCCCTCGGCCGATGGTGTACGAGCACCAGAGAATGAGCGTCAACAGCAGCAGAAGCAGAGCCAAGCGTCGGCCGGTCATGGACTGGACTTCGTGAGAGAAGAAGTTGTGGCTGGAAAAAGCTCGTGCTAACGCCCTGGAGGAGCCCAATGGAACAGCACGCCAAATACTTTAATTAAATTTGTAATAAAGTTTGAATGGTACTGCTTATAAGTCATTCAAGAACTCTGAATTGAAAGGCGTTGCCGTCGTTCAAGTATCCCAAAATGAAATAAAAATACTGCGGATTCTCTAAAACACACGCTACGAAATCATCACGCAATATCAGCAAGGGCGCAGACACAAATTATGAGGTTGGTTATTTTACATGCCAGAGGAACATTTGACTCCATGGAGAGATAAGCTAAGGATTCTTGTGAGCCATGACCTGGTACCGTTACGCTTCTGAAAATTCATTTATATCTCAAATTTAGACTTCAACCTACATATTTTAAATTACTAAAATCAATCCAATATAGGACTGACTCGATACCGAGGCTTGTACTATTTTCTCCGGTCCCAATGCCAAGTGAGCAGAAATAAATAAACTGGGATTGAGTTTGCTGCCAAGTGAGACTGGTGAGAGACTTGGTCATAAAAGTTCAGCAGGAGTACAAGTTCTGTCGGGAAGGTAAGCTCATGGCCAACTAAGAAATTTACCAATTCTGGTTGGTAAACAACTTCCTGGCTTGCCCGGGGTGTTGTATAATGAAAAAGTTGATCTGGTTGGATAGCGAGGCAATGAGCTGTGGCTATCTGACCTGAAAAACTGGCCCATCACTCCCCTCTTTAGTAGCTACTACTACGAGGATTTACCTCAACAAGTTCGTTTGTTTTCACGGAAAAGCAAAAGAAAAAAATATTCAATTTTTTAAATTCCATATATCACTGCACCACAAGTTGCAGCTGCTTATCAGCGGGATCATTGATACCAGTAGTCAACAATTGTCACTCTCGCACCTGAGGAATCTCCATAGATTTGCATGCAAGTCAAATTCCTGCAAGTGATAATATTTTCAGAATTTTCAATCAGGATTCAAGAGAGCTTGAAAAAAATTTGTTGCGATATCTATTCACCTAATCTGCAGTATAAAAATTATGAAATAATTAAATTACTCTATTTCAAAAGATCATTCGCAACAAAATAACTATGAAATTATTTGACCACCAAGCTTCAAATTTCAAATATATGACTTATTTGCCCTAAATGTAAGGAAGAGGTTGCAAAAGGCTTTCCTTCTTTAGGGGCTCATCTTTTTTTCGCTCTGCCAGGCCTGCTGGTAAAATTAGGCGCTGTTTAAACAGTAGCAACCAGCTTTATCTATATTGAGAGGAGGCATCGCGTCATATATAAATAATTAATCCGGGACAATAACTGCAAAAAAGCGGTATTCGAGTGCCCCCCTATAAAGCGCCCACCATGCGAGGTACGCGTGGAACACGGCGGCGCAGGAAGAGAATCCGATCCATTTGGGAGGAAAGGAGCGTGGGACTAGCGTCACTTCAGCTGCCACTGCCACTAGTGGAACAGTGTGCACGCTGTGGAACTTGAAGTCTGAGATGATGGCATCGAAAACTTCAGGGTAAATGAATTCTCGACACAACGAATACTTGATCCAGAACGGCAGAAACAAGCTCTGAAAAGTTGTAGACAAGGAATACGGTGGTTTTTTATTGATTGATCGTTATTGATAACTAATTTTTTATATAGTCTATAACAACCAATTGAATAATTCGGATAAAATTATATTAGTGCCAGTTTAAAATTATTCACTTTCGCTGGTCTTTCCATTTAAATTATCCAGTTTTGCTCACCAGCGCTGAGGGGAAGACTATTAATGTGAAGACTTTACTGAGCAGCTCGTGTGAGGGAACACACCGCAGCAAAGTTCCTGAAGCGATGTTGCAGTTGCGCAGCAGACGCGCCGTCAGGTAACTCAGGTGCAACACCTGTCAATGTTCACGCTATAATTACAATTAAAGTAGCCTCATGCATTCCTAGAAATTAGTCAATAAACGGCAATCTACATTTTTATAAACTTTATAAATTTTAATTTGGAAAAATTCAAATAGTACTCAATTTTACTAATGTGTAACTGGGCTCACACTTAGAATTATTAAACACTCACGCCACGGGAATCTGCCCCAGTAATTAATACATCGAAAGCAATTGTGTTCCGCACCAATAAGATTAAGGAGTTTCATTTCAGATCCACACACAAGCGTGGTCTTAAAAAGTTACCTTAATTAATTATTAGGAAATTACATTCAAACTATAATATATAAATAAAAACGGCGTTGTTATATAAGCACCGAATTTGTAACGTAAGAAACGATATCTGCTGTGATGAGATTGGGCCGGTTCCCGTGATTATCAGGGCACATTTGAAAGCTATTGATTGCACTGCGTTTATAATGCCACTGCTAAGGTGGAAATTATGACCAATTCTGAATTAGACTTTGATATATTCGCACTTAGCGCATTCGCCCCGTTGCTGCATTGAGCAGCAACGGGGATTTGATGGGGCACCACTCACGACATTAAGCAGCCACGACATTTTGATGGGGAATGACTCATGGCATTGAGCAGCAATGCATGCGGATTTAATGAGCATATTACTTACGGCATTGAGCAGCAACGGCGATTTGATGGGGTAGTAAACGGACGTTTGTTCGACAGCGCCTTGTTTAGGGGAGACCTTCGGATGGCTGAGATAAAAGCAGCAAATGCCGATGGCGTAAACGATGACGAACGCCGCTTGAAAGAAGAGTGTGAAGAGGTTTTGCATTTCGATTTTCTGATAAAAGAATCAACGACAGGACGGTAGAGTACTGGAGATTTATTTAAAGCGGAGGAAATTCAATACCAGAAACAAAGAGATATCATATTGCGCGAATCAGAGTTGAAAATCACGCTAACAATGGAAGTTTTCAATCAATTTTTCGCATACAAAATCCAAGATATTATTGATTTAATCTGGGTGCTCATTCGCACGCGTTGAAAGTTGCACATAATTTTAGAAAAATTTATAAAAAATTTTAAATCAATGATATTTTGGTGACGGTAGCAGCATTAAATAATCATTTTCAAACATTGCACATGGTGATGCAATACTGCCTTATGCAATATACTTATACTACTGCCCGGTGATGAATTAATGTAGTATAATAAGGATAAGTATTACAGTTAGCAACGAGTCATTTCATGTTCTCAGCATTACGATAGAACACATCTTGTGGCGTCTTGGTAAGGGTTTTGGTCATTAATGGCTTTGCAAGACGATGCCACAGAAACGGTCCAAACAAACTAACGCCTAAACATCAATCCTAAAATAAGTCGAATCAGTTCGTTTATTGATTTATTACTAATCCCAGTCGAATTCATTCCATTAGCTGCATAGCAAATAACTCAGAATTAAGATATCTATTCAAAATCGAATATAGCTCTTTTTGAGTTGAGTTCTGATCGTGATCGAGGACGCACGTACGTGTTTGCGGGTCCCAACATTCTCACTTTTTACTATGCCGGTTTGATTTATCTTTCAAATTTGCACCGAAACGATTTCAGTGAAAGGTTCTACTTTAGTGCAGTTCAGTAAAAATTGTGCGAATAGTGAGAAAAACGGCTAGTACAAGTGTTTTATTCCCGAAAAATGCCAGAGCATGAAACGAGGGCAAGTTATGTAGCTTGTTAATTGCGAACCCTCGGCGACCGCCTGTCAACCAGAGAACAACGGTGCCTTGAGACGCTCAGGCCTCGACTTCCTATACCCACCCACCTTCTTGGCCCCTACATCTCCCCCTCTCCACCCGCCTCACGTGTCGATCCTTTCATTCCCCCAGCTTCTTTCCCTCGCCAGCTGCAGCTCAGCGGTTCCTCCAGCCGAAATTTTTTAGGGAACTTTACTATACTCAACTCAACTCAGTTTTTATGTTTCTCCGTCCTTTTCTGTATTTTCTCCGTCTTTTTCTCCGTTCAAGAGATCTAGTTCGTGCATTTAATAATGGCTGGACAGAAAATGAAAAAAGATAACCGAAAAGCCCTCTACGGCCTCTAGAGAAAAGCCCTCTACGGCCTCTAGAATAAAAAATAAAACCAAATCAGCCCAGCTAGAGATGAAAGTTTGCAAGTACTGCAAAGAGATCTCTCTGAGCGAAGTCCAGACGGTCACCTGTGAACGATGCGAAGATCTCATTTGTATCAGCTGTTCGAAGTTGAGCTCTAAGGAGTACGCATTTCTCCAGAAATCTAAATTGCTTCATTGGTTTTGCCGTGATTGCGAAAAACCAACTCTTGGTGCTCGAAAAAGAGAGGAGTCGGTGGAAAAGCACGGCAAAGAGTCGAAATTGTTGAATGATGTAGTAAACTCCTTGAGTGAGATGGTGCGCTCGCTGAGTGACAAACTGAGCTCGCTATGCAATGAGCTGACTGAAGTGAAGGCTCAGTTGAAAAATACGGAAGAAATGGAAGTAAAGAACAAGACAGCTGAATTATCTGAAGTCGCTAGTGAAAGCTCACGTGAATTACTTGATAGAGAACGTAGGAAGGCAAACCTGGCCTGGTTTGGGATTCCTGAAAGTAACGCATCTGATGCGAAGGACCGACTGATGGATGACATGGCCTTTTTTGTAGACTGTTGCAGCAAGGTACTCAACACATCGATTGATGTTATATCATGCAAAAGGCTACGCTCGAAGGATGCTGCTGGCAACACCTTCAGACCTCTGCTGGTGACTGTAAAGGATTCTGCTCAGGTCTGGAGCGTGCTGAAAACAGCGAGAAAGCTTGGCGAATCCGATGATTACAGGTCAGTTTTTGTAAAGAAAGATTCCAACCCCTTAGAAAGGACGGTTTTTCGCAAAAAGCGGCAGGAGAGAATCAGGCGGAAAGGCACGGAAAATCAGGTCAATAACTTCCAAGCTGCCAAGACAACACCGGCTGTTCACGGACAGTCAGAGGAGATGGAGGACAAGTAATTAGTAGGAATGATGTCCGTAGATCGAGGCCTGTAAATAATGTAGGGAGTAACCGCATACATCAAAGTGAAAGTGCACAAAAAGTTTTAAAATGTTTTTACACGAACTCGGATTCCGTTTTGAACAAAAAAAGTGAACTGTTAACTGTGATCGCAAACGAGAGTATAGACATTATTTGTATTACAGAAACACTTCCTAAAAATCACGGGGGGAAAATTGTACCTGTTGAATTTCAGC